AGTSAGTGTATCATCATTGCTAAATTATTGACTTTATTCCAAATTTCCAATTAGAGGTGGGGATAGAAAACAAAACCTAACGTATTAGGAGTGTGCATAAAACCAAAACCAAAATTAAACGAGCTTAATCGAAAATTTTCAAGCTAAGCTTAATTGAACAATATTGAAATTTCAGGTTTATTTTATCAAATCCAATCATAACCAAATGTGGAAGCATATTTTCTGCTACAAATAAACAAAATGGTTAAAAAGTAAAAATTTGCAATGGCTTGATTGTGTGCGAAATGGTTCCATGGTCTAGTGGTCAGGACATTGGCACACGGACTATGTCCTCGACAGACAGACGCACGGACAATTGAAGAATTTGATAACAATGCAGCCAATCATTATCTCCCACTAGATTTCTTCCCGGTACGTATGGAGTTAAATTGAGTTTATGGATTGTGTAGCTTGATTTCTAGATTGTGTAACTTGATCTATGTCTATTTGCTTTAGATTTCTGGATTGTGTAGCTTGATCTATGTCTCTTTGCTTAGATTTATGGATTATGTAGCTTGATCGATGTCTCTTTGCTTTAGATTTCTGGATTGTGTAGCTTGATTTTGTTTTCCTTATCATTATAATGATGGTATACCACCGTGTGTAATAGGACGTTATGAGGTCTACCACTTCTCTACCTTCCCGAGCCGCGTACAATTCGAGGAATTACTAGTTAGACGTCTCCGTAGAGCTCCTATAATCGTCGTTGTTCCAATTATGGAACGCCGCCAAATCAACTCCAGAGTAATCAATCTTACGGCTGTGATCTTTGTTAATATATATGGCTGTAATTTTTGCATTGTTTTTAATCGTTGCATTGTTTTTGTAGCAAACTTACTACATGGATCCTCAAGCACAGCTCTCGCACAGCCATTCAGCACTTGCTGTTCGTGTTGCAAGAAACAGTTCATACAGTGAATTACAGTATTCTAACAGAATTGGATGGGGGTTCGATGGTTATTGGAGAGTCGGAAGAAATGTGATTATCGCTTTTATGGTTATGGATGTGCCCTCTCC